CTCTGTATAAAACTGTCCCTTGTTTCTAGATCAGGGATGGGCAACCTTTTTCTATGTAAGGGCCGCATTTCAAAACTTTTGAATTGACGTGGGCCGCATACAAGAGAAAAGAAAAAAAAAATGTCAATAAATCACAATTATTTATTCATATATAATTATAAATTAGCAAAGGTATACTTAATTAAACTTCTGGAACTAATGTAAATGTAATATATTGGAAATATTTTGTTAAATATTAGTCACTGCTTGTTTTAAATTAGTTTTGATGTGTCTGTTAGCCGGTTTCTTGTTTTAATTTTTACTAAATTCATTACAGAAAAACTATTCATATAAATAAGTTGTAGGAAAATAACGTTTGAATTTTTGCTGCATACTTCTTCAAGCTGGGAAATTGATATATTTATTCATATTTTATGTGACATGGGCCACAAAAAATATTAACGTGGGCTGTGGGTTGCCCATCCCTGTTCTAGAGAGTTATCAAATAAGGAACAGAAAAGGAGAGTTTTATAATTAATGCATTCATTTTTTAATGCTTTGTAAATTTCTAGTGTTTTGAATGTTCTTAAATGCTGCTCATCCAAGACTGGTTTTATAATCTTATCTTTACTTACAAGGAGACCCTACGGCTTTGGGGAAACGGATTTTGATGATCTTTGGTGTAGAGATAGTACACCATGTGAGTGTACTACCTGTAAAATACTAAAGTGCAATACTCAAATATAATCGAGAAAAACGAACTTAAAGTTTTTTTAGCACTTTATATATAAATTATATGTGCTTTCAGTGGTGATATTCGAAATATTTAACAAAGGGTTCGCTAACAGAAAATTTTTCCTTTTTTATTAAGCCCCAAGCCCGAGATATCTCGGGCAAGTTACATAGCGTTACATAAAAATCGGGCGTTTGGATCCCCTAAAAATTTTTGTTTTTTTGGATTTTTGGAATGTTTTTTAAGTCTCCAAATTTTTTCAAAAATTTTTTCCCGCGCGAAAAAAATTTATCGCGATTTTAATTTACCTTTAATGACGCACGATTTACGCTTAATTGCTTTTTAATTGTTTTTTAAATGGAGTTTGATATCAAATTTCATTCATCGTTCTAAAGTTGTAGTGCACAAATTTTCCTTCGGTAAGTTATTTAAAGCTAGTTTCTGATGTCAAAAACGACCTCCGATAGTTTTTAAATTTTTTTAATTAATAGATTTTATTATATATAAGTTTAATTAAGTCGGGGGGTCAGAAATCGCAATAAAAATTTTAATTTTTTAAAAATATACGGCCAGCTAGTATTCACCCTACTATAAACACATCGCCTCCCGAGACTACTATGAGAATGTCCCGGGAAATCCAACTCCAGCTGTGTTCAAGGTCATCCAGCTGTTTAAACAATGACTCATCAGCGTCAGATTTCACAGAAAGACAAGACAAAGGAAAATAAAATCTGAAGCTTTTTCTTCAGAATTAACGCATTTCTTTCGTTTTTTCAGTTTTAAGTATTTTTTATGTTTAATTACATTAATATCAAAAATTGCTAGAGTCCCAAGGAGTTAACTGCTTTCCCTATGACTTTTTCTCAAGAAAAAACTTTTCTAAATCATTTATTTTATCATTAGGTATTATTATAATAATAGACAGATGTCATCGTTTCTCGAAATACAATATCTTTTTTATTTCGCTGTCGATAGCCCGACACGTGTTCCGCAGCCATCTTGTATTTTCTCGCGCGCGTGGGATTGTGGGATCTCTCGTATGACTGGACCTAGTTTCAAGAACTCTCTTGAGTCGATCGCGATTAAACCTCGTTTCAGTCGAGATTGAAACGGTCGATGGAGGTTGCACCAAGGCGAACGGGGTATAAGGCTCTAGTTTAGTAGTGTTAAAGAGTATAATACGTATATTTTAATATATTTTTTAAAAGAAACAAAACCGCTGAGAAATGTTACGTGTGTTTAACAACGGGTTCAGAAAACTTTGAAAATGTTAACAACGGGTTCGGCCGAACCTGTGCGAACCCGCTGAATATCACCACTGTGTGCTTTCATTTGAGCGTCCTATGGCTGAGTGGTAACGATCCTGACTCTTACACTTGAGTTCCCAGGTTTGATTCTTGTGTATACCCTTTTTTTTTTGTTTAAATTCATAAATACTTATAATGTATTTATTTATTTACTCACTTATTTATTTATTTTAATTTAATTTCTACTATTCCAAGTCTAATATTTTTTTTACTTTTGTTGACAATAACGGCACATTCTTGACACCTATGTGTCAACTTTCCCATCTAATTGTTATTACTAACGGTGACCGATCTAATTCTCACTAGGAGCGTTTTTTCTATAGGAGTTTTTTTTTCACTCACTCTTTAAAGTTCGTTTCTGAATTTTGACACAAATAGACGTATTTGTGCAGTGAAATTTATTTTGAATAATTATTTCATAATTAAAAAAATGTCATCAAGAGAAGCAAGTTCTTCACATTGTGATGAAAAAACTGTTAATAACTCTTTATACAGTGATGTTTCGAAGCAGTGGCTAAAAGATGGAGTAGTGTATTATGAGAGTTTACTTTTCAAAAATAATTTAATTGCAACATTTATAAATTTTTTTCATTCAACACATCCAATGTATTATTGTGTAATTCTGTGCCTATCAGCATAGCATTTTCAGATAGTGTATCAGAAGACGTTATTGCAATTAAATTATTTTTGAAAAGTAAACTCTCATAATACACTACTCCATCTTTTAGCCACTGCTTCGAAACATCACTGTATAAAGAGTTATTAACAGTTTTTTCATCACAATGTGAAGAACTTGCTTCTCTTGATGACATTTTTTTAATTATGAAATAATTATTCAAAATAAATTTCACTGCATAAATACAAGGTCTGTTCAAAAAGTATCGGACCTTTGGTCGGCAAAAATAAATTTATTGACTTTGAGGTACAAAACCCTAATCCCCTTCAAAGTAGTCTCCTTGGTAATGTATATACTTCTCCCAGCGTTCCTGCCACTGCTGGAAACACTGTTGGAACGCATCTTTTGGAATGGCCAT